TTACTTGGCTTGATTTTTGATGTGTTTAAATATTATAATGCCTTTGCTAGCACAATCATTTTCAATTATTTAACTTTTTTTTGGAGTAATATTTAAGATGTATAGTATGAAGAATAGTGTAAGAGAGCTTCCTTCAGCCCACTCATGGATGAGTAAAAAGTTTGAATTAGCTGCTGACTCATTCATTCAAACACAATAGATCAAACATCATGATATGCTATTGTGAATGTGTGAATGATGCAGGAGCTAGATTTCTTCCTTTTCTTATCCGTACTTGGACTGAAGGGAGCTCCCTTTTACTGTTTATATATTCCTTTTTTTCTCTCTTAATCATCTTTTTTCCTTCCCACATTCATACTGAACTTTAATTTCTAGTAAGCATACCTCCAATTCAATGAATTCCTCGCATATCCTACCTGCTTTTCGTCCTAAATTGATGTATTGTTCTAAACCTACTGAATCTAATGGTTTGTCAGAATATAAACATTTTGTTATGTACTTTTACCATCCTAGGTTTTTTGTCCTGTAAATTATTGTTTGTAGAGAGCATATCTAGTTATACATCATTAGTTCTTTTGTTTAATCACTGCATGGATATGATGAATTCATCATTGATCCTAATATCCAGACTTCTTTTGTATTCGTGATTTGTGTTCAGGTCCCCACAAAATATGTTGGTTGGAAGTGTTCCTTGTGCATTATCTAAAATATAGTTACCTTGGGTAATGATGATTTATGTTCTTTACCTACAATTTCATTGTCATCAACCATAATTTGCCTCGGTGCCTCTCATCATATAGTAAGAAAAAACACCCCATCAAGGTAAATGGGCTATCTCATGGGAAGAGATTGCCCAAATCATTATTAATAGTTTTTATTATATAGTCTGCAAATTACACAACATTGGATAATGTTTGAATGTTGTATGAGTATCTAGGCTTAACTCCAAAACTTAAGCTCATGTGAATGGTTGGTTAAGCTATCTTATGTATTTTTTTTAGATTTATATATGCAACTGGAGTGGGTGTTATAGTTTTTAGATCTAACATACCCAGTGTTATAGTTTGAGATTTCACCAAACCTTTTGGGATTCTTTTATTATTATTTTGATCAGAAGGTTCAGTTGAGGTGTATCTCTGGAAAATATATGTCTAAGTGGATTTTCACTGTGAAGAAATGTTCTTTTCTGGATCTTAATTTCTGTAAATTTTGTGTACATGTGTGTTTGATTTCTGAAAACGTTATTTGGGTTATAACCTTTTTATCTTTTATTTTCACTTTTCCATCACCCTACACCAAAACGTTTCTGATCTTTCTTGGATCCCAGTTTCTGTAAACACTATCCTCTCTTCAAGTGTATAGAGGGACAATGAGGTATTCGTATTGGATGATATGGGAACTGAGTATTCTACATATGTTATTGTACTTGTATATCTAACCACAGATTGAAAGAAGTGTATGAGAGTATGTATATATATTAACAAAGGCAATGAAAAATTGAAACATTATATTGTTAGATTTTATTGGGTGGCTTGGTGGCTATAACCTATGAAACTCAATAATGTCGGACACTTTGGTTGGAGTGTAGTGTCGGACACTTTATCTAAGACACAAAAAGTAAACCTAGCATGGTCTGCCATAAAAATAGAAATAGTAAAATACATGCAACAATATATTATCTATTTTTTCATTTTTGTTGTTATTTTTATTTAAGAGTCAATGGTGATTGAAAAAATTAACGATACTGTATTTTTTTTTATAATGTTGGTATATATATCTTTTTTCATAATAAAACACTAGCCTTCCCTGAACAGCTGCTTTCCCATTCTTTCAAATTTGAGAAGCTTGAATATCAGCTACATTAATTTTCATCCAGGTTGGTGGTTGCATAGTTTGTGGGAGACCTGGTTTTTGATGGAGAAAAAATGTATGCATAGTTTTTTCCACCGTTAGTAAATTATCTACCCATTTGATATGAATGTTTTCATTGAGAATACCCTGATATTAAACTTTCTTGTGTGTCAACATCATATACTTATACATATTCTTCAAAATTTACAACGGGAATTCATTTTTTTAATATTAAATTGTTGGTATAAGGAGATGGTTGAAGATAATGATTTGTTATTCAAACTAATGAAGTAAAAATAATAAAATTTAATTTTTGATTAATATAATATGTATTTATTGGTCACTAATATAGTTTGAAATAATATTTAGAAGAATATATCATTGTTTGGTGTAATGGGGTAATAATAGATGAAAAGATAAATTATCTCATTACCCGATGAGATAACTTATCTTCTTAAATATATTATATTTTCTCTAAAAGTTTTCATTTAAAATATATTATAAAAATAAGAAATAAAACATGGATTTAAAGATATAAATTATTTTATAGTATAAGGAAATACTTTATTCTAAATAGATGATTGATCAAACTTGTGGAGGGTGAACAGTTTTGGGGTGCCTGAATTTAAATAGTATTAGACGTGCAATATTATATAGCCTATAGAATCCATTATCCATGCCTTTTTGTTTCATCACTGTGCTTCTGCTAGAGTCTAGCTATGAGGTTGGAACTTGGACCTATCACGTTCTGCTTTCTTGACATTCGTGACATCTACCAATTGCTCCATTATTTGCCTTTAAAATCTAGTCCTATTTATAATTATATTACTTTCAACTTTTCAGGAACATTACAATACATATGAGTGTTAAAATCTCCTGCTATTTATGCTTATATTATCACTTGTTCTATTTTATTCTTCTCCAATCTAGACTTACATGTACTGTTCCAACAAATGCATCACTGTTTTTTATTATAAAAAAATAATTAATTATTAAATTTTTAACTTAAATACATTTTTTTTATCTAATCACAAAAAGTGTCTCATGGAGTGACACATTTGTGTGGGAGAAGAGATGTGCTCTCTTTAAATTTCATACTCTAAATAAAGATGTTTGATATCCTTTCTAACACTTATGATCCATCTTCTTCTATTTATATCATAACTCCCAATCATATAGTTAAATTACAAATAAGAGAATTCCATCAAAATCAACCCAAACTTGATCCAAACCAATCTCTTACACGTTACTTACTTGGAAGGGCAATGCTAGGAAATACTCAAACACACCCAATATCACACTCTTCATATTTTCCTCTTATTTAAGTAACAACCTTTGTGGTTAAATCGTTTAATCATAGTGGGAACCATATACATACAGGAGCCATAAATCCCAAACTGAAAGCATTGAGATTTTAAGGTTTCTGAGTAATATTATACAACAATCAAGCCTTATTGTGGAATACATAAACAACCCTATAACCATTACAGTGGAATGTGAAATATTAAATATAAAAAAAGAGTTGAAGAGGAAAATAGATAAATAGATTGAATGGGAATAGTGAATAGCATGTAAACAAGTTTCAAGTTGATGTTTATAAAATAAAATGTGGATGACGTGACCCAATGAAAAAAGAAGTGACAAATAGAGTGCATCAATAATGGAGTTGGTATTATCAAATATACTTTTGCTTTTGCATGTGTATAACTGAACTTCAATTATCTAAGCCACTTACTTGAGGAGTTCGAGATGCAAGTACAGTTGAACTTGATTTCACTTTGTACAATTATTTTATACGTATAGATTATTCAGATAAAAGGGTGTATCATTGGGTCATGTATATTTTTTATATCATAATGTCTTCAAATTGATGTGGATTTTACCCTAATCTCATTTATTTATTTGATATGTGTACTTTTTTATAGTTACTTTGTTGTTTAGTAGTGTTGATGTCGTCATTCCAATGGAGGACCACTAGTACTTCTGGTTTGTATATATATAATCCCTTCCATGGAAAGTGTTAGTTATTTATGATATTTTCATGGAAGAATTACGTTAATTTAATTTTGTGAGAAAAAAATAGCTTTTAATGTTAGTACAAAAATGGCACTTGACTTTTGTATATTTTTAACTTAATTTGCAGCTTCTAAGGCTAGCTCCATCAATGCTGTGGTCCAAAGTGAATTTGAATGTGCATGTCTATTGTATCTTCTTTCACATGAATGCATGGCGTGCAAGTGGAATAGTCTCAAAGAAAATAAAAAAGCTTAAGCAAAGAAATAAGGATACTTTAATTGAGAGACAAATACTTAATTTTAATTGTGTTTTTTATAACAAAAGTGTTATTCCATTATATATAAAAGAATAAAAATATTTTATCATATTATTATTTCATTTGTTATTTTTATAGTAATTACCTCTTACCAAGAGTTATATGAGAAAGTTGATTTTGAAGAATCAATTGCATTCCATAAGAAATGCACACCAAAGGAACAAGTACCAATAAAATTGATAAATATTTAGTATAACAAACAATCTCTATTTATAAATAGAGATCCTTGTCCTAAATAATGTTTTATATGCTATCTCATCTAACAAAAATGAAGCAAAAGTAACAACATTAATAAAAATTTAATTTTTTAATTGACATAACATATTTCATTGATATGGACAATATATGTGACAACATGAGTTAAGCTATTTATAATGAATAAGAATCTTATGTCCCAAAACATGTTGTGAAGTATGTATTGCAAAAGAAAATATGTCATGTTAATTGATAAAATTAAAAATTCATAATTTTTCATATTTTTATTTCATTATTGTTGGATCAGACTGTGACCGGGAACCTCCAACCATCGAGAAGTTCCATTGTTACCTCAAGTGTGAGTACCACACACTTTCCGGTCCGCCCCCTTAAGTCCACCGTGTCACAGTCGAGTGATGCACCACGTCTTGAACTAAAACCTTAAAATATTAGTTTCATAAGCTTTTTCTACTTATAAACTATTGTACTTTTTCTCGCATACTAATATTTGAATAAACCCAGATGGTGTGAAATACAAATAATACTCATTCATTTATAACTATAAAAAATAAGAGACATCATGTGCCATTGACAGTAGTGGTTTTTGTTGTTGCTGACAAAAGGGTATGAGCCAATGGTCTCGATTGACAAGACTGGCAGATAAGATGCATAACTGTTTAATTCAGATAATGAGAATCCATGTGGTATCACCTCTTTCCCTTTGAAGAAAATACTTGTTTACTTGAGTCACATGTTTTCTACCTCAACATTCATTCGCATGTTAATACTTTTTCTATCTTTATTTCTGAACATTTGTCTCTCTATTAAGCTAACAAACATATGTAGTGATTGTTAATCCAAATAATTATTAGATTAAAATTGTGGGGTTTCAACTATGATGGGGTGGTCCATTTGAATGTGGAAGGGGCAATAAGTGAAATTATAAATTGTAATGAAGGGTTGAGACTAATTTTTTCCCCATTTATATTCAGTAGGAGTTAAAAAATAGAGGTGCAAAGAGAGATAAAAAAAGGTTTGAGATAGATATTTTTTATGTTAATATAAGTTAACATAAATATTGTTTTGTATACAGAATAATCTGCCTTTGTCATTGAAAAATAAATAAATTGGAGAATGAGAGTGACACAAAAAGTGAGATAATGAGTTTTATCCTCATTTTCACTAGACAAATTTAATTTATTCCACTAAATATAGGTTATACCTACTGCTAGCATCAAGAATCCTCGCTTCAAAAGTCATGTGTTTGATTCTTAACCTTATGAGTACCAATTTAATATCTCATAAGATTATCAATGATATTCAAATAATCTCTAAGAAACAAATCAAAGATGACAAAAAATTTGTACCTTACATGATTACATCTTTGTAATTTCGATAGTCTATGGGGTAAAACTATTTTTTTTGTAGAGCTAAAATTGACCTCCATAAATTATAAAAGATTAGTCTTGAACATTGGTTTTGAAAACCTAAGATCCACAATTTTTTATAGTTAAAATACTATATCTAGTGATTAGTTTGGGCCTTTAACTTTTTTTCTTTCTAAAAATGCTCATTAAGTTTGTTTAACCAGGCCTCAGCCCCTCATTTGATGTGAGCCCTAACTGTTGAGCAGCTGCAACCGCACACCACCACGATCCCGACCTTGCCATCCTCCTCCTCCTGCTGGTTGTGCTTGTCCCAGCCACCATTGGTCGCTCAGTGAGTTATATACCACATTTTAGCTAGTTTGATGGTACTCACTGGTGTAGCTGCACACTTTATTTTAATTTTTATAATATATGCCTTTGAAATAGGGAGATTAGCTTTGTATATCTCCTGATTCTCCTCCCTATTATTCATTTCTTCCTATGATCTTTTTGTAAGCAAACACTTATTATTCAATTGAAGATAACTGATTAAAAAAAGATCTGAGACATGATGAGGGCACACAACAGTACTTAACACTCAAACAATAGGCAGGATTAACAATCCAATCAACTTAACTTACAGTTAACCTCTACATATCTGAGGTAGCCATTATTTATCAAATCATGTATAAAATACTTGCTTTAATAATTAGTGTGTTTGATAAATTTCTTCAGCAATTGGTGCATTATTGAGAAGCATCACCTATACAACCTAAAACATGTAATATTGAAGCAAGGTGTTTACCCAAGAAGAACATGAATCTTTTCCGGGTGTAAAATTAGGAAATACTTTACCTGTTGTATTGAGCATAGTCAAAACTCTGCTAACAACATGCAATTGAGCTCTGTTGATTACGTATAAATTCTCCTGTACAATTCTCTAACCATTTTTACACTATCATTAAAACATGCACTACCAATAGATGATTGGTTCAAGTGATGCATACATGTTCCCCTTAAGAAAGACCAGGATTCAGAGTCTTGGGTATGAAGTCTAATTGTATTGTGAATGTTCTTTAGCACATACAAGCTTCTTGTGGAGGACACACGTGGCTAGACCCACAAAATTAAACCATAAAACCATGCATTAAAGTATCCTTAAATTAACTACAATAATAATAGAGTATTAGTTTAAGAGGCTTAAATTTTGTAACAATGTAACACAGTTCAACTATAGTATAGAAAAAGTTCAGTCTAAAAAAGATCAAAATATAGAACAAGAAAGGGACTACCCTCTTGTTGCTGGCTCAGATGGCAGGGGAAAAGGGACTACCCTCTTGCTGCTAGAGATGGATGGACCATGAAAGCGGATACATTTGATGTGGAACAAATGTGTTCCTCAGATCAGAGGAATTGGCCCATAGGGGCACCCACTTGGCTTGAACTGGTGCTGTTATCCTTTGAAGTTGAACCAGCACCAAACTGAGCAGGCCCTTGAAGAAAAGCCACATTTTCATTTGGTGAAACCATTTTATCCTTGGGGGTACTGCAGATGTCTGTGGATAAATTAGGCTTCTTATCATCCAGTTCATTGTTGGTTTCATTTTTGCCATAGTTAATAAAAAAGTCTCCCAAAAGAGAAGCAGCATGAGCATTCCAGCCATCTTTTCCCTCGGGCATCTTTCCCTTACAAGCATTTTCATTGATATCAACACTGCCAGCAGTGGCAGTGACTTTTCTGTTTTCAGGAATTGTCAGTGGCTTGTTGGACAGGGAAAGGGCAAGTGAAAGCTCGTGAGCATTGTTGACACAACCCGGTTGTGTTGGTGCCTGCTGTGGACTCAGCTGGGTTCCAGAAAAATTTGCAAGGAGGTTTGGTGTCTGAGTTTCACTGGTCATAACTTGCATAAAATTTAAAGTTTCTAATTTATTTGCTGCTACCATTTGAGCATCTGGTCCCAATTCTTCAACAAAATGGAGGAGGCTGTCTCTGTAGTGGCCAACATTTTTGTTCACCTGCAATGCAAACATGCCATAAGCAATAGTAATGACGGTGTTTGTAGTTAAAAATCTTAAATTGGGATTTTGATAAATTGGTAAAGAAATAAACTGTACAGCTATGTGAGCATGATATTATATAAAGTACCATGGGTAATAACATGTATATCATGTAAAATTCAAAGCTGGAAAGGATGCATTAAGTGCAAATAGAGAATGGATATTTCCTGAGTATTAATTTTGAGTGTTTAAATGATAGAATAGTATGTAATAAGTATGAGAGTAAGTTTTTTATTGTTGTGTGTGCCTCTCAAAATTTGAAATGTGAAGGGAGAGATTTGTGAGTAGTTATTGATTTATCACAAATTTGTCTCATCCATTTTGTTAGAATTGTAACAAGTCAATATTGGGGGAAATGCTTGCTATCTAGTAAAAACAATGTGCACATATCTCAACAGTCAGAGTCTCACTTGAATATTGTTAGGGAGAAGGGAAACAAACTAACTTGAATGTCTGATTGGGCATTTGGGATTCTTGAAAGGCATGGCTTGTCATTCTGCGACCCATATTTATCTCTCTTCTCTATTTCAGGTGTTGTATTCCCTATGTCAAGAAAAGAAGGTAAATACAATCAGTTGCTCTTAATCATTCAAACAAAAAGATGGCAGTTTTTGAATTACTAACTACTGCTGCAAGTATTACTACCTTCTTTAACCAAATAACAAATCACTAGCCAATGAGTGCTGCACCACAATATCTTGATTAGAGATAGAGGTGGCAAAATTATCCATAATCCACAAATCATCCAAATCCAAAAAAATTAAATCCATCCAAATCTTATATCCAATGGATATTATCCATTTGGATGAATATCCAATCCATCCAAAAAACAAAAGAATTTAAAAATGATCTTTGCTTTTCAATTTCATTTAATATTCAAAAAAATAAATTCGAGCAAATTCATCCATGATTCTCACTCTCACTTTTAATATTTTATTAAAATGATATCAATTATAGGACATGTGGATATATTTAATTTTAAATGTTTATTTTAAGTACATAACATATATGCACTGACAGTGTATGATTTTTATATACTATCACTGTACCATCCACCATTTATATTTAATCATCATTGACTCTTCAAAAAAGTAATCCAAATGATTGGTGAATGATATATTGATTATGTATAAATCTTTATACTGACAGTACATAGAAAATACATTCTATAAGTATTTGTTGAAAACGTTACACGTAAAACATTAAATGTCGCATGTTTGTAGAATATTGTAAAAAAATAAATTTTTTTAAAAGTTAAAAAAAATCACTTTTTTAGAAATGTTTTTTAAAAGTATTTTTTTAAATGATTTTAAAAGTGTTTTTTAAAAGGTGATTTAAAAAAATGTTCTATTGAGATAGTAGTTTTTAAAATAATGACTTTCTTCAATAATGTTTTTAGCTCTAATAACAAATTCAAATGGATTGGATATCCATCCATCCAAATCCATGAAAAAGGAGTCATGGATGAATTGGAATCCATCCATAAGTTTAGATATGGACGGATTGGATAACTTCAAATTTTATTTAAATCGATTTATATGGATTGATGGATGACTTTCCATCCATCCATTAGCATCAAATCCAAATCCATCCATTTGACACCCTTAATTAGAGAACTTTGATTAGTTGCTAAGTCCAGCATACTCAAATATCACGTGTTCATTTAAGTTTCAACTCATCTTTCTTACATATATGGTTTTCGGTTGTTTATTTTTCAACTCATCTTTCTAGCATACTCAACTCTTTCCAAACAGTTTGATCTAATCAGTTGTTAATTTTTGTCTTGAGCATGACTCAAGAACCATCCAACTCCAAACTATAAGAGTCATAATGTACATCCTCTAAGTCTCTAAGCCTTTGCATAATTCAATGTAATTAAATAGAGCTACATAGGTGAGACAACATAGCATAATTGTTGAACTACAAGCTGAGGAAGAAATTTCCTTACCACTAGGTGTATAACGAAACCTTGCATGCCCTGTGGTTCTGGATTGTAATTCCCTTCCCAACAAGTTTTGCTGGCAAGTTGGCTGAAAATGTTCAGGCTTCTGATCACCTAGATCCTCAATAATCTGCCTTGCATAATGATTTAGAGCTTTAGCCTGGAAGAAACCACGTTTAAGATATATTCAAATACTTAATAGAAGCATACATTACTATACAGTTTAATTAGGAAGTGAACTGCAATTCTCAGGAAAATAATGCTTGCTATGGTCATACCACTTGATAACGTCTTGTGTCTGGGGGATTAGTATTCATTGCATTGGCAAGCACTAGACATACATCATGCTGTACATCAATGTTATAGATAAAATATTAATTAAGTTGGCACAGAGGATATGTATTTCACAAATCAGTATTAATTAAATAGAGGAAATATATTAAAAACAATGTCCAAAGGAACTAGAAATGTATGAGAATGTGTAATTGATGAGGAACAAAAAAAAAAAAGAAATGATACATAAGCATTCTCAAAATAAGTATGAAAGGGAAGGGATGGAATAACAAATATGAATATGATATTTTTTTTATATATGTTATAAATATGATGCTTTTTAAACCTTAAAATGTTCCATGGTTGTATACATGCCCACTTGAAGTTTGGCCCTCACAGTAGCGAAATCCATTGGCTGCTTGCCAAGGCTATAGTAATCAAATACCTTTAAAAGCAACATATGACGTTACTACCAATACTCAATAATCAAATAATAAGAAGTAATATATACAATTCTCTTCAAGAAACAACAACTAACCACATTAGGATTATTTGGACCAGCAAAGAACTCCCCCTGGTCATTCCTGCACATTTAATTTTTTTAAATGACTGAATGTCTTATTAATTTCCCATTTAAGAAATAAATAACAAAATACTATTATGGTTGTCACCTTTGTAAGAAATAAAGGACACGTTCAAGGGTGTGCTTATCAGGCATACCATTTCGAGATGGCACTGCAGTAAACAATATGTGGTTATATCATGGGTCACAACTTATGGGAAATGACATATAATGGCTAACTAGAAGAAAAGGCAGGTGCATAGTCTTTACATTTATGAGATAATTAACAAGCTTACCATTTCTTCTTGAAGTGCTTCCATTACCAGGGTGTTGTCCTTCCTGTGTAAGCTTTCAAATGGAAGAGAAAGTAAATAGGCAAATAAAATAAAGAGTGCACATGGTAGTATATTCATTGGACACAAATAGTTCAGAACGAGTTTTGTTTAAGATACAATTAAGGTGGGCAATGACCAACAAACTGATATAAGCTAAAGTGAACTCATTGTAAATTCACTTGGTTTAAGCTCAGCAAAATAAAAAAATGAACTCGATTTGTTAACTTAAGCTCAGCTCATTATAGGCACATGAGCAATCTCTTCACACCAACAAGGAATTA